TGACCCCCTCTATCCATCGTCTATGACCCCCTCTATCCATCATGAACAGGTGCACTTGGCTGGCAGGTTTCATTCTAAAGCATTGACCTCCCAATATCCAATCAGATGTGTCATCCATGGCTCTAATCTCTCTCCTTCCTCAGGCTCATCCAGGTGAGATGGTGGGTGCACTGGCCGCTCAGTCACTCGGAGAGCCTGCCACACAGATGACCCTCAACACCTTCCACTATGCCGGTGTGTCGGCTAAAAACGTCACCTTGGGAGTCCCACGTCTTAAGGAGCTCATCAATATTTCCAAGAAGCCAAAGACTCCGTCCCTGACCGTCTTCCTGCTAGGACAGTCCGCTCGCGATGCTGAGCGTGCAAAGGTGACAACTCGCTCTGTATACATTTCATGGTGCGCAATTCATGACACGATGTAAGACAATCACCTTCTGTCTGTCCTCTCCAGGATATCCTGTGCCGCTTGGAGCATACAACACTGCGCAAGGTCACTGCCAACACAGCCATTTACTATGACCCCAATCCTCAGAATACAGTGGTAGCGGAGGATCAGGAATGGGTCAATATCTACTATGAGATGCCAGACTTTGATGTGACCAGAATCTCCCCATGGTTACTGCGTGTAGAGCTGGACCGCAAGCACATGACCGATCGCAAACTGACCATGGAACAGATCGCAGAGAAGATCAATGCTGGTTAGTAGGACGCACTGTGTGCATAGAGGTGAAGACTTCCTCACCATTCATGTGGCCATTGAAATGTCTGTTCTGATCTCTTCTAGGGTTTGGCGATGATCTGAACTGTATATTTAATGACGATAATGCCGAAAAACTGGTTCTGCGAATTCGTATCATGAACAGTGAGGAGAACAAGATGCAAGAGGTGAGGACATCTGGTTTCTGGACGCTTCACCCCCCTCTGTGCTCAGACCAAAGGTTCTCTCTCCGGTCTGGTCTGTGTGCTCCACCTTCTCCATTCCCCTCCTCCTGTCTGGTCTGTGTGTTCCACCTTCTCCATTCCTCTCCCCTCTCCTGTCTGGTCTGTGTGTTCCACCTTCTCCATTCCCCTCCTCCTGTCTGGTCTGTGTGCTCCACCTTCTCCATTCCCCGGTCTCCTCCTGTCTGGTCTGTGTGTTCCACCTTCTCCATTCCTCTCCTCTCTCCTGTCTGGTCTGTGTGTTCCACCTTCTCCATTCCCCTCCTCCTGTCTGGTCTGTGTGTTCCACCTTCTCCATTCCCCGGTCTCCTCCTGTCTGTGTGCTCCACCTTCTCCATTCCCCTCC